GTTTCGAATCAAAATGGCAGTTTGTGAGTAAAATGTATTATGATCAATGTCATTCCTTCTATAACTCCCTCCATCTCACCCAACTCCACCCATCCCTTCAATTTTCTTAGGTCCATTTTCATATATGTATATGCATATATATATATATATCAAATATTATGACTGAATTTACCCAGCCTTCCTCTCTCCATTTGTTTGCCCTCTCTCCCCTTGGCCCCGCCTACCCCACACACATGTTCCAGCTTTCTAGTATTCATTTTGTTCAACAGTAAGTTCATTGTTCAAGCATCCTCCTTTTAAAAAGGAATAAGTAGGATAGGATACAATGACTCACATCTGTAACCCTAGCTACTCAGGAGCCTGAGATCTGAGGATCACTGTTCAAAATGAGCCAGGGCATGAATGTCCATGAGAGTCTTATCTCCAATTAGCTATCCCCCCACCAAATAAAAAGCTGGAAGTAGAGATGTAAACCAAGTGGTAGAGCACTAGCTTCAAGAAAAAAAAACTTCAGCTACAGTGCCCAGCCAAATTTAAATCCCAGAACTAGCACAAAAAGAAAGATGGAAAGAAAAAAAAGAAGGAAAAGAAAGAAAGAAAGGAAGGAAGGAAGGAAGGAAGGGAGAGAGAGAGAAAGGAAGGGAGGGAGAGAAAGAAAGAGAGAAGAAAGAAAGAAAGAAAGAAAGAAAGAAAGAAAGAAAGAAAGAAAGAAAGAAAGAAAGAAAGAAAGAAAGAAAGGAAGGAAGGAAGAAAGGAAGGAAGAAAGGAAGAAAAGAAAAGAAAGGGAGGGAGAGGAAGTATGAAAGAAAAAAGAAGTAAAGAAGAGGTTTAAGCAGAATAATCATAATTAATGCTCAAAAATTTTTGTACCCCAACACTTATCTACACAACTTTTGCATATGATATTCCAAAGACCTTTATTTCAAGGACATGCCAAATAAAGACATTAAATGTATCATAATGAAAAAAGCTCAACATCAAAGGCATTTCACATAAAGACAGTTTTTAGGCAAATGCAATTAAAATCACCATACTGATGAATAACGTCAGAAATGCCAATAAAGAGGGTGACATTATCCTTTGATGGGAAAAAGAACAGAGCTGAGTAAACAAACAAAGCTCTGTCTTGGAAGACATTAACCAATTTGAGGCCACTTCAATTGCCTTTTGAATGCAGTTTATATTGTTATTACTTGAATTTTCTTTCAAATCTAGAGTTAAATAAATTTGATTTAGGGAGTTATTCTGTATCTGATGGTTTCGTTTCCCACAAGAGATCATTGGGAAACCGCTGCATTGTCTCCAAAGACAGAGCTAAGGATCATTCTTTTTATGTCCTGCCAAGGATTGGAAGGAGACAGTGGGCCTTGGGGATGAGCATTTGCCTGAACAAGCCAACACAATAGGACTGATACAGAAAATATGCCTTTCATCTTCTCTGCAGTTGGTGACAACTCTGTGTGTATACGTGTGTGTGTGTGTGTGTGTGTGTGTGTGTGTGTGTGTTAACTTAAGCTTTGTGTTGGGATTCAAACAAATGCAGTTCATTGTTATTAAGTTCTTGCTAATGCTGCACCTGCAGGAATAATGTCACCAGCCACTGGGACAAGGCATGGTCATTTGCTGGGGCACTTTACTGGTGGGGCAATAATTCTAAGCAGCAACAGAAGAGATGATGTGGGCAAAGGAGAGCCACAGCCCAATGATCAAAGTGCTGGACTCAGGGTCAGCACTAGTGGGCACCACATACAGTGGGCCTGGGCAGCCAGCCAGCTCCCTCCATCTCTCCTGCTAGTGGGCATTAAGCATTCTGATAAAATCATCAGCTTGATGCTCAGCTGTCCTGATTGCTGAAGAGACTGATTGCATTATTCATTCTCATAAAAAGATTTTTTAGGATTCTCAAGGATCTGTAGAATTTTTTTTTTAAATTAAGGCTCCAGAGTTATCAACAGTTTAATTTATCCTTCCATTCTCTCAAAAAAAGTATCTCAGAAGATAGAGAGCGCCTGGACAGAAAATAGGTTGAGAATGAGGTGCAGATTGCTGAGAAGCTATCAGCATTGTCTTCTTCATGGTTTTCACCTTCCAGGTGAGAAGCAAACAAACAAATACACAAACATATGAAGAACAATAGTGACAGAAAAGAATAAAACACACACACACACACACACACACACACACACACACAAATCACTTGCTCCTTGATAATTCCTTATGAAATACTTCCACCTACTGGACAAATGAAGAAGAGCTCAGATCTTGAAATTTCTTACTTGTGCCATGTTTTATTAAGATTATACTCCACACCCTAAAAAAAAATCAGGTTCTGGTGGCTTAAGCTTGTAAATCCTAGCTACTCAGGAAGCTGAGATAGGAGTCTCATGGTTTGAACCCAGCCCAGACAGGAAAGTTTGTGAGATGTGAAGATATGGCTCAAGTGTAGCGTGCTAGCCTTGAACAAAAATACTCAGGGATAGTGCTCAGAACCTGAGTTCAAGACAAGAACCAGCATACACATATACAACACAATTAGGAATCAAAAATAAAAACATTAATTATGTGGATTCTAGGTGAAATTTCAAACCTATGTTCTCTTTTCTGATAGAATAAGCAGCATAGTAATTTGTAATGAGGTTTATACTTCATTATGTCCCCAAAATTTGACAAAGATGAACTCCTCAAGATTTGTGTCTGAATTTTAGGCATAGTTATTGCTCATAACTATTATTGTTCATGACTACAAAGTAGTCAGTGTCAAAGAGCAAGACACAGCCTCTCATACCAAACACGCTCACACCAAAACGTCTCTATTTTGTAGACATTTCTGGCTCTTGAATTAAAATGTCTGTCACAGCAAGGTGTCCTACTGTGGTCTGTTCACCTGGAGAAAACAGGGAATACAATGCCTTTTCAAAAGTATGGGTTTCAATAGATCATAGATCACAATAAATATGGGTTAAGCCGATGTGGTGGGGCAGGTCTGCCATCCAGGCCCTGGGAGGCCAAGAGAGGGGGTTTTCGAATTTGAGATGAGAATAAGTGTCATACGAAGAAGTCTCAAAAATCAGGAAAACAACCAATAAACAGACTAATTAAGTAAGAATTGGATTTAATTCCTTCAAAAGCAAACTTTCTCTAAAAGCAGTTTAATTATTAATCACTTATCGCTAAAGGAGAAAGATTGGAGCAGAAATGGAACCCTAACAGGGCAGAAGAAAGCGGCTGGGTGGTAGGAAGTAAGCCAAGCCCAAAGAAACATAGGTCCCATGATTTCCCTTATTTGCAATATCTAGTATATGTATGAGTCAAGCAGAAAAGGTCAGATAATAAGGTGATATTAGGGAAATGAACCCTTAGATATGTATTTTAAATGTTTTTTTTCTTTCATGCATTTGTTTCTAACGCATTTATAAGATTATTTCTTTGTTGCTTTGTATGTCCCTCCCCCACAGTATAACCCCTGCTTTCACTGTATTTGATGTCGGTATAATTTGTGGAGGGGAAGGGGAAAACAAGTCGTTTAAGTAAGGATACAGGTGGACCCATTGCAGCAATGAGAAGTACAAGTTGTCATGTCGAAAACGAACTTTACAACTTTGGTGGTGGAGGGGGGAGGATTAAGTGGGGGGGCGGCGGGAGGATGGGAAAGGATGTGAAGGGTAAACAAAGGAGGAGGCTGCAATGCTTGATAGGAAATGTACTCATTGTCTTGCCCATGTAATGTAACCCCTCTGTACAGTATGTTCACAATAAAAAAAAAAAAAAGAAATGTACTCATTATCTTGCCCACCTAATTGTAACCCCTCTGTACAGTATTTTCACAATAAAAAAATCAATAAAAATTTTTAAAAAGATACAAAAAAATAAATACTGGCATGCCAAACAGAAGGCAAAATATTTACAGAGGAAAAATATTTACAAATTATGTGCGTGGTATGGTTGTAACCAGAACACTCACACTACTTAGGATTCAAAGAAAGAAACCAAATCACTAGCAAATATTTGGCAAAGAATTGAAAATTGAAAAAAAAAAAAGAAGAAGAAGAAAGGGGAGGAACCTGTATGGAAGAAGTGATAGATGAAAGTAATTATCAACCAGTGACTACACTAATAAAACCACTAGCTACAATAGCTGTATTGCACTCCATAATAAGCTGTTCTTATTTTAAAAGCCAAAGAGAAAAAATAGTTTTTCTATTTCAAGGTGCTCTTTGTCTTTCAAGGTACGTGTGTGTGTGTGTGTGTGTGTGTGTGTGTGTGTGTGTGTGTGTGTGTGTGTGTGTGTGTGTGTGTGTGTGTGTAGTTGCTGGTAAAGTGGTTTGAATTCAGGGCCTCGTATTCATGTTTGCTTGTTTGCCTAACTGGAGCTCTACCACTTGAGCCATACCACCATTTTTGCTAGTTAATTGTAAATAGAGTCTCTTAGGCTTTTCTACCTAGGTTAACTTCAAAATATGATCCTCTAAATCTACCTCTTGAGTAGCTAGGATTACAGGTATGATCCTCTGGCTTTCAAAGAGTCAGATTTTTTTCCACAAAAAATAAGCATGTTTAGATGTTTTGATGTATTCATCTATAATGAAATTATTATAATAGTCAAACTAATGTATTCCTCCTTTCAAGGTTACCTTGTGTGTGTGTGTGTGAGAGATGCTTGAATCATTCTTTCAGCACAAAATTCCAAAACATTGTAGCATTACTAAGTAGTCTTCATGTTGTACAGTACATATTTACTGTAAATTCCCCTTATCTATAAAATTTCAAAAAGATAAACCAAAGTCTGAGTACTTCCGAGATTTACTGAGATGTGGCATGCTCTCAAATTCCCATCCTCCAGCTACTGTCTTCTTCCTAAAAGGGCTGTCAGCCCTGAGGTGGTTGGTACTTCCTTCTTCCTGGAACTCTTCGTTGATTTTTCACATTCTTACCCTCTACTTCCTGGATCTGTTACCATGCAACCATGACATCACAGAGCCAGCCTGCAGTTCTTTCTCCCAATGCCTGGAAGGAAGCCACAACTCGGAAATGGGGAACAATTTGGGAAAATATTTTGCACCACTGAGATTCAAGCAGCATTCATTCTCTCCTCCTTTGTGACCTTCTTCAGTGGACTTGCCATCTTGTATATTTTCAGACTCCTATGGAAATTCATAAAAAAACATCACAAAAGAAAAGAAAAAGATATCTTGGTCAGTTTCCTTATTTGGAGGTCCCTCCATACCATGATGAGAAATAGGTTTGCTATGTGTATGTGTTAACAATCAATTTAGGAGTTAGCTGTTTTTTTCAGGCTAACAGAGCCAGCTCTGGGCTGGTGCCTCAGGGTAGGGAACAGGACCCTGGGCTACCAGGCTGAAGCTACTAGCACAAAGCAATCTCTTCTCTGGTCAATGTCAGATCTATTATAAACAGAAATGTCCATGAGCAATAACCAGACCTCAATTTTGAAGCCTAAGAAGATAATTGTGCTGGGTACTGCAAGGAAGGAGAACAGGAACAGGACAACGGTGGCAACATCATATTGGTAAATGTTTTGTATATGGTTCATCCATGCCTACTGGTCCATACTACATTTGTGCACTATGTGAACATATCAGACCTCCATTAGCCACACAGACATTCTTTATACTTAATCCACATTTGCAAGGGTTGGTGTCATAGCATAATAGCTATCAAATGATGATAACTAGAAGAAAGGGGATCTTACTAGCTCAAGCATTGCTACAGAGTGTGACATAAATATATAAAAATGACTCTTCTGCTACCAGAGGTCAAAAGCAAAGTTTTATTATAGCTTGTGTAACTGGTTTCCTTGCTTATTTCCCAAACTTTGTTTCTTCCCTGAATCAATTATATTAGTTTCCATAACAAAGCACATTTTACCTGCACATCATAATAAGGAAAATTTGCTCGAAACATTTCTGACATCACTGTGACATAAAATAAAGCAATGTATACTAACGTAAATTATTTTAAGGTTTAGATTTTACATTTGAGTATTTAATTTTCCAATACTGAAGCTCATAGCATATTGAGAAGAGAGTTCACGGATAATTATTTCTACTTTAAGGGTTTTATACAGAGGCATAAAAACTGAATGGGGATGGGGTAAAATTCTGACTTATGGACTAATGAATTCATGAATGTGTGCCAAAAATAACTATCCACCATTTGATGTTGCATAATATCCAACATAATTTGAAAAAAAAAGAAAAAAAAATTATGGCTCATTTGTCTTCTGCTCTAAGAACTACATCTTTTCCTTGTATTCATTTTTTTGTGTGAGAAAAGAAATACAAGGATACGTTTGCCAACTTACATTTACTTTATTTTCCATGCCTTACTTTTGAATATAAGTCTTAATGTCAACTTCAGTATAAATATGCCTTTTACTTTCAGATATTTAGAAAATTTTACAAAGTGTTAAGGATTGGGATTTCAGCAACTAGAGTAGTACAGTGATCTGCTTTTGACTCTTGAGGAGAGGGTTTGAAAAGCCTTGCTAAACTTCTAAATGATAGCTTTATATTCAGTTAAATTGATACTACTTTTTTTTCTATGTCTTTATGCCTTTGGAAAGTTTGGCCAAATGAAAAATGGTCACAAATAAATGTTTGGTGGAGTCTTTTAAAAATTATTTAGAGAACTACATATTTTAAAGGAGTTATACATCCATAAGTAAGATTTTGTTATTTCCTAGAGTCAAATAAGTATTCTACTCTAACATCACATTAAATGATTTTAAATCTACTATCAGATATGCACACGCTATTTTTATGTGTTACAGGGAAAATCATTGAATAGGATGTGAACTGTATTAAAGGATGCTTTAAAATTGTTATTACTATTATGTTTTAATAATACTAGGGCTTGAACTTAGGGCTTCCCACTTGCTAGGCAGGCACTCTACTGTTTGAGGCACAACCCAGTCCTTTTTGGCTTTAGTTAATTCTTGTTTCTTATTGGATATTTGGAAGTGGAGTCAGATGGACTTTCATGCCAAGACTGGCTTTGAACCAAGGTCCTGGTAATATAGGATTACAGATGTGAGCCACAGTTCCCAGTTTGAAATATTTTTTATATATAAAAGAGAAAGGAAATTGTGGTAAAGTTGTCTATTGCTTTTGCTTTTACCTGGTATCCTTTTCTTCTCCATATACAATTGTCTTCATGCTTTAAAATGCTTGAATGTATGATATTTGTGTGCCTTTCATTATTGTTTGGAGCTGGCCTTAAACCATAATCCCTTTACACATTCCTCTCACTTGGCTGGAATCACAGATTTATAATACCATACTCAGCTTTTTGTTAGGTGAGATGAGTTCTCTTAAGTCTTTTCTTGGGTTAGCCTCATGATCCTCTTGATTTCTGCATCCTGAGTAGTTGGCATTGCATCTGAGCTACCTTGCCCTACCTATCCAAGAGACCAAAAGTATTATAAATAGATTCCCTTTCTTATCCCTGCCATTTAGATAATATGCTTACAAAAATAACTCATTTTAAACCTCTAACTCCATTTTAAAAGATGTTTAAATGTTAAAATTTCATAAATGTCTTTCTTTCTGATTCTCTATAAACATGGATGCTAGATCAGACTCTGTCCATCACTATTGCTTGATCTTGGAACTGTCGTTCACTCTCTCATTATCTTGCTTCCTTGCTTTAATGTAACCTAATTTAGCAGGCGTATTTCTGTAAATCTCAAATATCATGTATGCAGGAATTGAAAAAAAGGATACCAGGTAAAAGCAAAAGCAATTTTTTTCCTCTTTCATATATATAAAAAAATATTTCTAACTGGGAACCTGTGGCTTACATCTGTAATCCTATATTGCCAAGAGATTGAGCTATGAGGAACTTAGTTCAAAGCCAATCTTGGCATGAAAGTCCATGTGACTCCACTTCCAACTATCCAACAAGAAGCTAGACTTGGAGCATGGTCTAACTGGTAGAGTGCCAGCGTGAGCAAGAAATCCAGGCAAGAGAACACTGCATTTAAGCACCAGTAGTAGGGGGAAAACCCTCAAAATTTTAGTAATCACTTAACCATCAGGTTGGCATGCATGTCTTTTCTGTTGTCTTTGGTTTTTATTTTAAAAAATATATGTGGAAAGTGATCCTCAGAGCAGAAAAAAAAAAAGCATGCTGCTCCCCAATCCTGGCTATTGCAAGGGTGTGAGTTTTAAGGGACTGGAATAAGAGGTATAGATAAAGCTCACAAAGTTCAGAAGACAAAATGCAAAGCCAGTAAAATGCATTGTGTGAGATGTTGGATAATCACCTGTGGGAGTCCCTGGTTTGGGCAGCACAGAATGACTTTTCCCTTGTTCCAGGGTAAGAGCCTCCATGGACATTGATCCTGCAGATTGTTTCCTTCGATGAATAGCTCACTCTGTCAATCCTTTTGCTTGCTTACAGAATCTAATCTCATCACGTGCTAGATTTTTAAGAAGGCTTTACATTAATGGAGCATTTCGAGATCGAATAGAAATGTTGCTCTCAGCACAGACCTTTGTGGGGCAAGTGTTTGTAAGTACGCTTTTACCTATTCATTTGCTAATGGATTTTAGCCATAAGCATGATCACAGTCAGTATGTGCAATGTTATCACAGAGGCTGACAGCGGGTCTACCCAGTGGTCTTCCTTACTTCTCATCCTGTTTGGTTTACTCTGGAGTAGACAGAATTACTGGACATTGGACTACAAGGAAAGCTTTCTTGGCAAAAAGATTGTACTCATTTTGTCATTTTTATATGTGGATTTTTGACCGGTATATAAATACTCAAAAAGTGACAGTCTGTGAATTAATCTATCCTGGCATTTAGAGCTCTTCTCACTTCCTTACTTCCAATAGACCTGGTTCTCATTTCTTCCTTAAACACGCTAAGCTTTTTTGCCTTCTTGTGCTATTTACTATTGTGCTTTTTAATGTAATCTCAGCTACTAGAACATACTGTCACTTATTTCAGATACCAAATCCCCAGGAAATCTTTCCTTTCCTCCATATTAGGCTCCAAACACTTCCTCTGATAACTATACTACCTGCAGAAGACTGTTACTAAAATTGTCAGTGTACGCTCACACTGTCTCCTCCAGAGAGCAGATTGTTATAAGAAATGTTATTTTTTCCTTGCTTGGAATTAGTGGATGCCTGGTGAATACTGTGCTGGTCCTCATTTCACTGGTGTGGAAAACAATGACAACAAAGAAATAGAATCTGTTATCTGGGGTGTGCTGCCATCAGGTGGTGAGAAGGCGAAAATAATTTCGCTTGAGCTTAAAAATTATTGCCAAGTGGTTTTACAGAGATTAAAATTCAACATGTCAGTTTATGCGAACAGAGTATCTTGATCAGTGTCATCCCTCCATCATCATCATTCTTCCCATATATCCCAACCCCACCTACTTGGTTCCATTTTCACATATGTACATTGAGAATTATGACTGTATTCATCCACCATTGCTCTCTCCATTCATCTGTCTCTACTCCCCTTAAATCCAGCCCACTCTGGCAAGTATTTCAGCTTCTACATAGTCATTTTGTTCAACAGCCAGTTTAACAATACTGACAGTTAATTCTCTGTCGGTTACACATTCAAAGGAATTACAGCACTGGATTCCTCCAGGTATACCATATTGTAGTCAGTTTGGGTATAGGCATACGGCCCTATGAATGTTTTCATATGTTTATATTTTAGATCTAATTTTCAAATATGGCAGAAAACATATGCCCTTTGTTTCTCTGAGCCTGACTTACTACTTAATTTAACATAATTTTCCAGGTCCATCCATTTCCCTGCAAATAAAATATCATTCTTCCTGCCTATTGTAGGGCATCTGGGCTATTTCTGTAACTTGGATATAATGAATAATAAAGCAGTGAACATGGGTATACAAGTGTTTTTTATTGTATCCTGACTTGTAATCTTTGGGATAAATGCCCAGGAGTGTTATTGCTGGATCATAGAGTAGTTCTTTTTTTAATATTCTTATTGTAAAGATACTGTATAGAGGGGTTACAGTTATATGAGTAAGGTAATGACTACATTTCCTATTGAGCGTTGTTACCCTTTGTTTTTCCACTACGATGGTTAGTTTTTTGAAGAATCTCCAAACCATTTACCACAGTGTTTATACTAATACATTCCCTCCAATATTGCATTAGGCTTCCTTTTCCCCTGCATCCTCATCAGTATTTGTTCTTCTAATTCTTGATGATGGCCATTAACTTGAAAGAGACTGGATTTGTTTGGATTTACATTTTCTTTATGTCCTTGGATGTTGAACATGTTTTAATATTGCTCTTTATTGTGCCAAAACCTGGTTCTTGGCTGACGGTTACTCCCATCCTTAATATTAACTACTCAGCAGGCTAAGGTTTGAATGATTGAGTTTCAGAGACAGTTTGAATAGAAGTCATTGAGACTTCATCCCAAGACTCTGTCTCATTTAACCAGCAAACCGTGGGAACTAGCTGAACAAGCAATCTGAGCAATTGGGTGACACTAGATACTAGGGGAGAAAATAACAGAAAAAGAAAAACATGTCACCTTCCTAGTTAATACTATTTAATCTAGGTATAATCAATTGTGAGAATATAAGTAATTTTGCTTTTTTTTAATTGTGAAAATACTGTACAGGAGTTACAATTATATGGGCAAAGGGCTGGGAAGTTGGCTCAGTGGTAGAGCGTTTGCCTTGCATGCCTGAGGCCCTGAGTTCGATTCCTCAGCACCACATAAGCAAAAAGAAAAAAGCCGGAAGTGGCGCTGTGGCTCAAGTGGTAGAGCGCTAGCCTTGAGCTGAAGAGCTGAGGGACAGTGCCCAGGCCCAGAGTTCAGGCCCCATGACCGGACCAAAAAAAAAAAACAATTATATGGGCAAGGTAATGAGTACATTTCTTATCAAGCATTGTAGCCTCCTCCTTTGTTTCCGCTTCCCATCCCTTCCCATCCTCCCCCTACCTCCCCCACCCAATCCTTCCCCCCCTCCACCAAAGTTGTAAAGTTCGTTTTCGACATAACAACTTGTACATCTCATCGTTGCAATGGGTCCACCTGTATCCTTATTAAAACAATTTGTTTTTTCCCTTCCCCTCCACAAAGTATACCAACATCAAATAAAATGAAAGCAGTAAATTTTGCTTTCAAAAAAGGCTGTAGATGATGTTTCGTGCTTTGGAATGCACATCTCCTTTCTGTTTTGTGAAGAGTGGGTCTCTTTTCCTGAAATCCCTGGGAGTGTGACCTGTTGCTGCTGATGTTGTAATTCTCTGTTACATCAAAGATATCTTACTTAAGATCCCTTCAAATGCTTAAATATCTTTGATTCTGTGTGAGGATTATATTGGGGAAAACACATGAAAGGACCTTAGGGTGTGAGAAAGGAACTTATAACATCCACCTGAGGAGCATTGCCTATAGAGCATGTGTAGGAAAAATTAACATTCATTATGTTCCAGTAAGATAACTTCAAGGGGCTGGGAGCTGATGGCTCATGCCTGTAATCTTACCCAGGAAGCTGAGTGGGAACGTCCATGAGACTCATATCTCCAATTAAGAACCAATAAAGCTGGAAGTGGAGCTGTGTGGCTCAAGTGGTAGAGCATTAGCTTTAAGCAAAAGAAGCTCAGAGATAACGCCCAGTCCCTGAGCTCAAGCCCCAAGAATGGCACAGAAAAATGATAAGAACAATATTTTAATGATGGAAAAAATATTAATTCTACATTTATCAGATAATGATCCATTGGTTGAAACCCCAGAAAGCCTAGAATAAACGTTAAAGTAGAATAAATGAACTGCTATTGAAGGCCTTAAATGAGACCCTTAGGGATCCCAAGCATGTGTTTATGAAAAAGTTAGAAGAAAATAAAATGACTTACAGACTTCCTTTCTTCCTTGAACTTATACCCAGCATAACTGACTAACAGGAACTAGCTAGAAGGAAGTGGCTAACAGCTTTCACTTGTGCAGGAATTTCTTTACTGCTTTTAATACTGTATCACAAACTAGATATCTTGAAATATTTATCAAATGACTTTCACTTATGGAACTTAAATTCTGGTGGTGGTAGACATGACAATATATGCCCAAATAAAATAAGATGGTGACCAAGGCTTTGTGTGTATTTTGTATTTGTAAATTCTGGTAGTTAATGAGGGAGTTCACAATTCACTATGGTAATCAGAGAAGAAACTGGAAAGGCAAGATTTGAACTGAGACATGAAGAACCAGAAGGATAAAGTGAATGAAGAGTAGAGGGAATAGACTTATGGAAATAAAGAGGTGACATTACAACAAGTACCCAAAGACGTTTCATGTCCCAGAGACCATGAAGAGTTGTGAAGGGTGAGGTCTGAGAAGCGACCAGCAAACAGCCAGAGGCCATGTGCTTTGTGGGACGTTGCTAAATTACTCAAATGGAATCACTTTGCTCTAATGCAAAGATAATCCATGGGCCAGGGTCTTAAAGCCTAAATTAACAGAATATAATTAGATTAATTGTAGGGGCACCTCTAAAATCTGGGAACAAAGGAATTATTGAGCATGTGTCAGACATCAGAAAATGAACATTGATAGCACACTGTTAATAACATAACTGTGAAGTCAGAAAACACTCACTCATTTCTTAGGACTTCCTTAAGAAAGTGCCTGAAGCAGAGCAGTTTGAACTATAGGATTGTATTGTTGCCCAGGTCTACTGACTACAAGTCTACTGCCAGAGTTGGCTGCTTGAGATGTGTGAGGGAAAGAAGCCAATGCCTGTCCCTAGCAGTTGTTAGTGTGTTGGAAAGCTACAGTGTTCTCTGGCTTAAAGATGGTGAAACATCATCTCTGCTTTTTTTTATTGTGAGAATACCATACAGAGGAGTTACAATTACATGGGCAAGATAACGAGTACATTTTTTATCAAGCATTGTTGCCTCCTCCTTGTTTTCCCTTCCTATCCCTTCCCATACTCCCTTTCCCCACCAAAGTTGTAAAGTTCGTTTTCGACATAACGACTTGTACATCTCATTGTTGCAATGGGTCCACCTGTATCCCTGGTTAAACGATTTGTTTTTTCCCTTCCCCTCCACAAATTATACCAACATCAAATACAGTGAAAGCATGGGTTATATCGTGAGGGAGGGACACACAAAGCAACAAAGAAATCATCTTGTAAATATGTTAGAAACAATTGCATGAAAGGAAAACAAAAACATTTGAATACTTATCTTGGGGTTCATTCCCCTAACATCAACTTATCTGACCTTTTCTGCTTGACTCAGACATATACTAGTTATTGCAGATAACAGAAACCATGGGAGCTGTGTTTCTTTGGGCCTGGCTTACTTCACTTAATATAATTTTTTCCAAGTCTTTCCATTTCCTAACAAATGGGGCAATGTCATTCTTTCTGATGGAGGCATAGAATTCCATTGTGTATATATACCACATTTTCTTGATCCATTCATCTACTGAGGGGCATCTGGGTTGGTTCCATATCTTAGCTATGGTAAATAATGCTGCAATAAACATAGTTGTGCT